AGGAGCCCCACCATCCTTGCTCCTCTACAAAGCTTTGGCTTCACCTGTGCTTCAGGCCCCACAGAGCCCCTCCTGCTGTTGCCCCTTCCCTTCTCACACCCACGCCAGCTGTTTGAGGACACGCTCCGTGTCCTGAGCCTAAACAGTTCTGGATCCAGCACTTTTGTTTGATTCCCCTGGTTGGTACAGAAAAAGCAGTGGTTATTGGGACCGATGATATAGCTGACAGCCAAATTGATTTGCCCACAGTGCTGTCAGTGATGGCTTTTTTTTTTGATAGCGCCTGGCAGCCACCTGGAATTCAGCACAGCAGCCCATCCCAGGCAAGTCCAGCCTTGTGCTTGCTGAAGCTCGTTAATTCTGCTCTGTATGCAGTTACTTGCTGTTGTAATGCTTTAGGTCTCCAAATTATCACATGGTGAAGCATTTCAGACCCAGATGATGCCTACTGTCAGTCCCTTTAATTCAACAGCATACCTGTAAGCAAGAACGGCTGCATTTTTGGAAGTTTTCACTGAAATGCAGAGGAGCTCATCTCCTCAACCTCTTTGGCAACTGGATCTCTGAAATCAAGGGACCTGAGTACTGATGCCTTCTGATGGCAGGATGCAGAGCCGTCCTTCTCTGAGCACAGTGATGCACAAAGCCTTGCTTAGCCACGTGGGACTAAACCCATCGCATGGCACCATCCCCTCAAAGCAAAAGTGGAAAGAACAATTAATGCATTATTGGCACAGGTGGTGTAAATCAACACAGGAGAAGGGGTTAATCCTAAAATATGTCAGGAATGGCAGAGAGCCAAGCTGAGTCAGGCTGGCTGGGTCAGCAAGAGGGGAATGTTTTGGCAAAAAAAACTCACAAAATGGCTGATGGACTAAGGAAATGAATTTATTTAAAACTGATAACGGATTCATACTCTGCTACTGTTCGTTTTATATGGCTCGGCTGTCAAGCCTTCAGGGGCAATAAACTGTCACTTGCTGTCTGCTTGGACAATACCTAGCAAATTGGATCTTATACCGATCGCAGCTCCTCTGCGTTGCCCTAATGAAAGTCACCTCCACCTGCCACACATGCAAAAAAGCTCACGTTCAGACAAGCCGAACCCAGACAGCTCATTTGTAAGCTTTAACTGTAATAATGTTCCCTGAACATCCCCATCCGTTCTGACGTGAAAACCCGCCGCCAAGCCAAAACAGAGCCCTGACAGCACAGCAACGAGGGAGCCATGGTGGATGCTGCGCGGTGCCTGCAGCGGGCTGCTGGCTGGAGACCACGATCCATCACCTCTGACTGCTGCTAGGCGAAAGGGTCGGGGCAACGGTGGTTCAGACTGCACAGGTTAACGTCTCCCTCTGCAAGCAAGCCAACTTTGAAGGCTCGGGACATATGTTAAAATCCTGACCGGTTTGTTAATGGGTCTTGGAATGACGCTGCACAGGGACTCGAGCGCTCTGATACCTGCAGAACACACATTAACTATTCTGGATGTTTTGCTCATGCCAGCTGGAAAAGAAACACGATGGTTTCGCTGCATCTGCAAGGCTTCTAATTGTGTTTCTGGATGGGCCAGAAGTTTGGCAGCCATGGAAATGAAAGCCTTCATTTCTCTTTAAGCCAGGGCTGGTATTTCTAACAGCAACTGGAACAAAACCAAGGGTCTAAGTGCCAAGGCTGAGGATGCTGTTTGTAGGGGGAAAGTGACAGCACACCTGAGATGCTATACCTCCACCCAAGGCTGCACACAGGGAAGGTAGGGGTTTAGGTGCCTGCGTGGCAAGCAGAACTACAGCAAGGGCAGGGGAAGTGAGGCTCAGCAGGAGAATGGAAATATCTGACCCCTGTCAGGCTGCTTCTACCCTAAGGGCTGCAGCTGCGTGGTGGTAAGAACAGAAGAGGAAAGGATACCTGCCTGCAAGACAGCCTAGCCTGTGGCTGTATAAACCACCCCAGGAAATGTAAAAATAAATATACACAAAAATATATATACACACCCACTTTCTTTTTTTTAGAGCAGGAGAAAATACACAAGCTGCAACTCTGAACACAAGTGTTTTCACAGAACAGTTTTCATCACACTGGAAGGAGAAGTGTCAGGGGAAAAAAAGTTAGAGAAGATATCAGGGGGAAGGCACAAGGACAAAGATCCATGAAGCAGCCTAGAACATGGCATGGCTTGTGTATCACGAGTGAAACCACCAGCACCTGGTGAGAAAAGGGACAAATTGTTTCTTGCAGAGAAAGTGTTAGTATTAGTATGTATCTAAGCTCCATGAAGTTATCCCTATATCAGTGTTATTTATACCATACACCTGTTTTGGAAAGAGGAATTGATTTAATGAATAAAAGTTTAATTAAGGTAAAACAATAGTTTCCATTCATCTTGAAACAATTCACAACCTGCTGCTCTCCTTTAACTTTCAATCCAGCTAATGGTATAAACAGGCTCAACTGCAGCACTACATACCTGAAACCTCCTGCAATGCAGACAAAGCAGCGCTTTACCTAGAAACAGGAAGCCTTCTCTCCCAAAAATAGCATTTCAAAGTGCTCCAAATGCAGCAAGCAAATATTTTCACTGGCCAGGGCATCATATGAACACAAAGGAAAATCACACGGTAGATAATCTGTTGATAAACTAGAGGTTGCCACTGAAAACCAGCTACAGCCTCTAGTCATTTTCTTCCTCTGCTTTCTATTCTGGTGCAACAGGGTAAGCACAGATAAGGATGGGGCAGCGGTGCTGGGCATCCTCCCCCAGGCAGCAGAGCCAGCCCCCAGCTCACCCACAGATGAGAACGAGGTTGGAGCCAGGCTGGCTAGAGGTCAGCATGGTCTCCATAAATCCTTATTGTCACGAGCATATGCACAAGGGAGCTGAACCGGACCTCGAGCTGGGTCGTGCTTGCAAGGCTGTCAGGCAGGGTGCTGCCTTTCACTTGTAACCTGAAAGAAAGCGTGGCATTGCTGAAGGAAGCTATGTTGCAGCCCGCCTGACATTTTTGCGAGTCAGCTCTCAAAGGAAGGCCACGCTGCAAAATATCAGCGTTGATTACCAAACGGTACTGCTGGTGTTGAAAGACATACAGTAAATTGAATTTTAATAAAGGTATGACTGTACATAAAAGGTGAAGAACTTCATTAAACATAACCATGCGGCGTACAGATGATACATATGAGGCTGTTTCTCTAATATCCTACTTCTGATGCTTTCTCTACTGCATTTACCTGGGGGAGAAGGGAGCAGGAAGAGACAATGGCTATGCCTTAGCTACTGAGATTGATGAGAGCACAGCTTTATAGCTTTAGTGCAGTAAGTGCCAAGCATGACATCTTCCCTACTTAGTTCTGCAGAATGAACTATTCAAAAGGTAATAATGAACTTCACATCATCTGAAGGACTCAATTGTGCTCTGCTGCCTGCTTCCCTGATCCCATCCATCTAAAACAGCCCAGGATCCAGAAGGACAAGTGAAACCAGCAACAGAAATGCACCTGAGAAATCAGAAATCACTGGGTCATTCAACTGTTGAAAAGCGTTTTAGATTTAAAAACTATGAGAATGCAAAAATAATTGCAATCCTTGGTGGGTTGTTAAGTCAGAAGAAAGATGTAGGATGTCTTTAGGTAAGTTCACTGATTGTGAGAGGAGGGAAAAAAAACCAGCCACCCTAACTTGACACACAACCCTTACAGCTAGAGAGAAATTTTCCTATTCTTTCACCTCACCTCCCTACAACTCACTCGCCTTTTGGAGGGACACCAGGAGATGGCCTCCGCATTCTAATTGCATTTGCTACTCTACCCATCGCGTGGACTTCAGTGGGCAAAATCAGTGGGGCTCGCGTATCAGGTATTCTCCACAATACTGGATGAGAAGTCATCTGAAGCTCTAGATGGGTGTTTTTGTCTACAGCCTTTAAATAATTCAGGGAGAAGAGCTGTCAAGCTGAATCTGCAAAGCCCCCTTGACTTTGTAGTTACGCTATTAGCCCGACTGCCTATTGTTTACAAAGACAAAAGGGAAAACATTACAGGTTTATATGTCCGCAGAGGAGGGGAGTCAAGGACTAGAATAACAAGGGCTATCCATACAGAACCCAAAAAATGGATGGGAAGGCAGAAGATTCAATAAGCGAAGTACAGTTGTACCAGCAAAACAGCAGAAGAAAGTTTCTGGTTCAGTTGTGCTATAAATAAACACCAGTGGTTGCTTTTATGTCATTCTTTAAAAAGGAAAACCCCAAATGCAAATGGTAACTTCAATTAATTAGCAATTAAAAGCACTATTTTTCAGATACACAGCTGCAACCACCTCTTCCAGATCTGTCTCACTTCTGCAAAACAGTGACAGGAACCAGGCAGCAGGCCAGCACTCATCCAAAAAAACTCAAGAGAGCAATTCCATCCTCCCTCCTTTTCCTTTCAGTACCTGGGCTTTCTGGGCACACAAACACGGTCAGGTCTGTTGAAGATTCACTGGAGCCTGTCTGGGGACACCACCAGATGACTGCAATGGCCCTTGGCATGCCAGGGAGCTCTCACACTCTGAGGTGCCTTTTAGATACTAATATATGGATATAGTTAAGTGACTCTGGGACATGAACAGCTTTGATGGGGTTTTGCACAGTCATTTTCAACCAAAACTGTAAAGCTGGCTCACAGCAAATTACTGCCTCTTGAAGCAGCAGGACAAACTGAGAAGGAAGGGGAACCTCAGGATGTGGAGACCTGCTCCATCCCATGCACTTTTCCAGCAGAATTTAATCACCTCTCCAGCAAGCTTGCTATAAACCTAACGAGGACTTGAAAAAAGGACATTTTCATACAAAGCACAACAGCTCTAATTATAGTCTTGGTTTACTACGGGGCTGGGCTACCCCTAAGCAATTATGCTTAGCTTTGGGTTGCCAATGCCCCCCTTCGGACCTTCACAGCTGGCAGCAGAACAAGCTGTGGAAGCAGCTGCAGGAGCTGTCTCGGCCCATTTTGGCTTAAAACATGTATGGAGGGGAACGATCCAGTTTAGTTGGCTCTCCTAAAGCAGACAGAGACCTCCACTTTACTCTAGGAAGACTGCAACAGTGGACAAAACACTCTTCGTTTGCCCACGACTGGTCCCAACTGGTCCAACAGCTTCCAGCCCTCGACAACTTCTTGATTAAAACAGACTTGGGTACAGTCCTTTATCCACAGCTTCTGCCTGCATCATTCTGATTGAATGCATGCAAATAAGCTGGAGAAAAAAAAGGATTAAAATAATAGAAAAATTATCATTAAGTGGGCAAGTTTAACTCAGAAGGTCAGAGTCACTCTGGCCACAAGAAAGAGACTGCACAGGACACAGGTACAACAGCGCTCGACAAGGCACAAAAGGCTCCTTTCTTATTCACCTGGTGACTGCTAGCTAGCAGCAGTGCCTGAAGCTGCAGTGCCTTTAATAAGCCCCTAAATCTCCTGGCCTTGACTACCCTCCTAAACCACAGGGAGCAGCGTGCCAGCAGTGTGCTGGCTGCCAGTGTCCTTACAGCAAGGCCATTAAACAACACGTACACTTTTTTTTTTTAAAAGCGGTACATGCATCTATTACCAGCTCCCGAGTGTTACTGATCACAAACCATTGTCTTGTGGCAGTCCTCAAATTATGTGATGGACTATCAAGCTTGCAGGTCACAGCCTGGAAGTCCTCAAATTAGATGCTCCCCTCCACCCCATGCTCTCATCTTGCTCCTCCAAAAGGGAAAAAACAAACTAAAAAAAGATGAAATCGTTATTCTGTGCTGTAACTGGAGATTTAAGACAACCTGCACGCTCTACATGCTTCCTGCTGAAAAACAGGAGATTAAAGAGGCATTAATTCTTAAAAGTTATGTTTTTGTTGTTGGCATTGCTGCAGCATAAACACAAAGTCGGGGCTGGCAGCAGCAGTGGGAGCGAAGGGAGGCTGCAGCTTTGCCCAGCGATGCCCACTGCAGGGTCCTGCAGGGCTGTCAAAGGGTCTGGGCAGCTGGAGCCTCCATTTGTCTTTCCTTGCTATTTTTTTGTTTTGACAGAATCTGAAACAAGGTTCCCAGTCTGGAAATACAGCTGCACTAAGGTACTTGAATTTCTGTCCTGGCAACTGCACAAAATCAGCAGTGGCTCAGTTAGTGGCAGACCTTTAAGCTGTCAGAGGCTTTTGCGGGTGGAAGGAAACCTTTATTCTTATTGCAAGACAAAATTCCTAATATGCTACACAGATTTAGCCCATTCCACACAACAGCTTATGACAACTTTACTCAAAAAAAAAAATCAAAAAAATATTTCCTTCCTAAAGATCCAGCAAATAAAGAAAAAGCATCTTCGTGTGGTGCACATCACAAGCAGTTCATATACTCGTGATTTCTCAGTATTGCAGGACTGAAAAAGGATTTTGATAAAGTGAGATCTGGATAACGTTCTACATCACTGTTTAAGGACAATTCAATCATCTTCTGGATTAAGTCTTGCTCCCGATTAATCTTAAGAGAGCGATGAATAGAAAATCCAGGTCCCAGGAATGAGGAAGATTTTATCTGTGAACCCAATTCATGAGTAAAATCATCTCGCTTACAATGGATAATTCTAGTACTGTTCAAGTTATTTTCACACAGTGGGTATAAAAATTATCTCTAGATATCTCAAATTGAAATGACTGTTTTTAACCCTTATTCTGAGCACATGCACAGATTAACAATACTGTATCAAAAAAGGAGCTCAACAATCAAGAAATCCATTAAGCTACCAATGACACTAACAGCCAAGGGGATGTTTAAGAAGATTCAAGCCCATAATGAAAAAAATCGCGCCATTTACTACTGGAATTGCAGGAAGGAACAAGTCCCTTGTTTAGAGACACAGTACCTCTGATTTCATATACTTCAGCTACACAAATATGAGAATACAAACCTGAGCTCTGCTGATGAGGGAAGACAACAAACAATTCCAGCATTTGATTACTTTTTTTATTATTAATTTCCAGCTAATCTGCTTCCTCCTTCCTTTTTACTACCCTTTAAATGCTCTTTCTGAAGAGACGCTGCTGCTGACTTACTCCTTAATAGACATCATGGCTCTGGAGCTGGAGAACAAGGCAGGTACCTGCTGTTTCCTTGCAGGCTCTCAAAGCCTGAGAATATAGGACAAAGCACAGTGAATCTGAGAAGATAAAAACAACTGGACTAAACAAGACTTACTTCTTGTCGCAGCAAACCTATATATGCTGCTACATCAGCAGCAGGAGGACAGCTCCTGCAAGAAGTTCACAATCAACTACCCTAGCTACAGCTTCCAGGCAAGAACTAAATGATGCAATAAGAAAGGGATCCTAAAAAAACCACAAAGCATGTACACAGTATGTGTTCCTCTGGGTAAGGAGAGGCAGAGACAGCATGGCTTAGTGCGCATCGGGTTCGTTACTTCATTAATTTTTATTTATAGGGAGATGGAGTCAAATTCCCCGTTTGTGTGTTACCATTCCAGATATAAGGAATACAGAAGCCCCAAACTGGCTGAGAACACATTTGTCTGCATCATAAAACCACCTTAAACCTACTCAGAAAGGAAAAGTGAAACTTTAAAGTCTATATAAAAATGAATTCTCACCCGTTCTGGTGTGGGGAGGGAGCCGTAATTCCCAGGTTCAAAACAGGGATCAAAAGCTAAAGATTTTGAGACTGCAGTTGGCTTACAAGGAGACGGTCTTGTCCCCACCTGCATGTTCAGTCAGCTCTGTTCCTGGGGAAAGCAAGGAGCATTCTTACAGGAACCGCAGGGACGGCTGCAGAAAGCATCCAAGGGACTTGGAGAGGGTTTGAGTTTACAATCGAGGGTGCCCTGGGAAGGGTGCTGCCAGCGAAGTGAGCCTCCTTGCCCTGGAAGCATACCGCTATCCAAACATTTATCTAAAAGAAATCTTTAAAGCAGTATTTTTCTTATACAAACATCTGAGCACCAGCAGAGTGATTTTCAGTGTGACTCTCTGCTTACTCTTCGTAAGGTAAATATATACTCTAACGTTTTGGAACATGGAAAACTCACACGTTCCCAGCGCAGGCTGCTGCTTGCTGCAACACCAGCACCCAAATTTCGCAAGCTGCTAACTCCTGTTTTACCTCCCGTTCTCAAACGTTGCCCAACTTCTTCTGCACTGTCAAGTGAGAACCTAACGAAGAGAGAAAGGCTACAGCAAGATGAATCCTTTTGTACTAAATAAGAACATTTGTATTTCACTTCCAGCTCATTTCTCTTTTTTTTAAACTGCTGCTGGCTCAAATTTATCCTTGCTAATGCTGGAGCTAACATGCGAGCTCTAAACCAAGACACACACAGAAGCACTATTAACCTCCTATTTTAATCAAGGATATTTTGCTCTAAACAAGAGAAGACTTTCCACAAGCACACACTTCCCAGACTAGACAGGCTTTCCATTAATGGATGGTCTGGAGAACAAACCTGTCCCGATCGGCCTGCTTTGTAAAGAAGTCTGTCTTGGAAGAGAAAGGCAACAATTGCTCAATTGAATTGATCAACCAAGAAACTAGGAAGAAAAAAAAAATATTCATGTATGCTTGCTTTGGAGGCTTGACCAAGGATAAGGATGCTGAGTCTCTGCCAGTGAGGAGGGGTGTGGTTTCTCCTGCTGCAATTAATTTATAACACTATCTACAGATTACAGGTAAAAGGAGCTTTTTTTCTTTAATGGATCTGAACCAATCTTTCCTCCCAGTATATGTAATACTGCTTATCTTCCCTCCAGTATCTCTCATTATTATAAATAAGTGGAAAACAATGCAGTTGTCTCATCTGCCTGCGCCTCTCTGCTCAGCTTAATATTCACTTCAGACATATGAAGTAAATCTAGAAAATCCACTACTGCATCGCACAGCTTACTTTCCTACAGCTTTAGCAACCAGATAAAAGTTCAGGAAGTGATTCTGATACACAACAGCATGAAAGAGGTGTTGCTGTTTGAGGCACTGCTTCCCTCGCGGAGCCTTGTGTGAGGGCAAACCCCACTACGCAGCTGCACAAGCAACACCACCAGCACCACTCCTGGCCCGGAGGTACCCATTCAATTGTAAAACATCATTTTCGAGCCATACCAGATTCCCTTCCTTAGGCAGGGAAGATTGTTATACATGTAATTGTAGGTATTCTGTAGAAAATGATCACGTCCTAATTACATACCCAGGTAGTTTCGATTCCGGCTGACTGCATGCAGGTAGCTAGCTCATCTGGCCTTGGTTAGGAGGTCATGACAACACTGAGAAGCCTGGGGTAGTTTAACTAGGTTAAAGAGACAAATCTTTTTTGCTGATAGAAAAGCAGTGCGACAAAAGCTGAAATTCTTGCCTTACTAACAAGCAATGCAATTGATGTTAAACTGGTCACAAGTTATGGGGTTTCAGGATGCTCTGGCATTTTGCTATTGATAATGGAAGTGCAGAAAGCATAAGGAAGCCTCCAGAAGAATTACTCCAAACCAAGAACTGTTAATGTAGAGACCCACATAAAGCAAAGCTTTTGCAGACCTGTGCATAAATGCTTCTACTTCCATTTCACCCAGAGGTTAAATTATCTGATCAAAATCTTGTGCTGGAAAGAAAAAAAATCAGTTCATATTTTTTCCACTTCATTTAGACTCTGTAAAACATTAAATCCTTGCCAGTAAAGCTGCTTAATTAGGAGCACCAGAGCACAAGGTTGATGCAGCTCATGAACCACAACTCCTGAATGGTGGTGGCCTTGCAGAACTCGCCGTCAGGAGGTGCACCAGAAAATGAGAAAAAAATATTGAGAGGTTGCTTTGACAGTAATTGAAGCAGTCACTTTTTTTTTTTTAAAGGGGATGAGGTTATAAAACCACCTTCAAGCAGCAGTGACAGCAGAACATCAGCAGTGAGCGTTCCAGATATCCTCGGTGTGGGAATTGTGCTGCTCCACTGAAGATGACTTTTGGGTGATGGTGAGCCCGATACCAATAGCTTCCTGAAACCTGCATTGCTCTTACTCCTCTGAAACCAGGCTACTTCTTCAGCACAAAGTGGTGAGATGTATTTTTACCCTCACATTTCCATCTTAAACAGCCCCTTCAGCTACTTCATAAACCTCAAA